TTTAAGTTTAAAACCAAGCCAAGCTAGGCAACAGCCCCTTCCAGAGAGACCAGATGCAGGTTATCAAGGCTGACTTGGGAAGCTGTTATAACAGAGGAACCAAGCCTGATGAGCTCTGGGCTAGCAAGTAGATTCACCACCTCAACTAAGTGATCGAGCACAGTGAAGACACGTATTGATTTTGCATTTTGAAAAAGCAGCAGTTGAAGGTTAGCTACTCTTCCTGCAAGCTCTTGTCCCTTTCAGCATCCAATAGTGATCCCAGTATCCCTTCCAGGTTAGAGTAAAACAGCTTGTAAGTACTTGGTACAGTAGTCACTAGAATTAAAAGCTACGTTAACAAAATTAAATAGTCTAGCCCATTGCTTCTCTCCAGCCCATTCATAGGCTACTAAAGGCACCCAAAAATTATATAAAGCTAATGCACTAGAAAAAGTAAGATTGCCTTGACCTCTGTCTATACAAACTACTCAGCACTCTCCCTTTGAGCTGAGGGATTAAGTTATTCTTCTCGGTTAGCACCCAAGAAGGTTTGTGTGGCTGACTGGCACTGCACTAGGTTGCCACCTCACCTCAGCACACATCCAGAAGATAGGGATGGCTCACATCTGTGATTAGTTTCATATCCAGAGGTGATGCCAGGATAACCCCACGTCTCACACTCCTCACGGCTAGTTCTTTGCATAGGTGGGGTGAGCCACCTTTTATGGGCAGAGAGATGCAAAGTCTGTGCACCTACAGGTTGAAATGCCATACTGCTTCAACAGCAAAGGGAAGCCCAGCATGCTGCTGTTCATCCGGTGCAGCCACAGCATCCTCACATGTGAGCAGTGCCATGCTTTTAGCTGCCAAGCAGTCCATGGCTCGGAGTAACAAACCATTATGAGATCTTAAAAGCAATGTCAGTTCCAAAGCCCGTTTATCACAAAGCATTGCCACCCCCCTTTCTCAGTCAAGGCACTTCCATGACAGTAGGCACACAACAGTCACCTTCCTATACAGGACACAGCATAAAATAGCCATGTGGTCCATTTGTGTTTAGCTCCTGTAACACCTGAGCAGTCTCCTGCACAGGACTCTGGGCCCTAGCTGGACAAAACTCTGTTTTACAGTCCACAGGAGGAAGAACTGCATTTCCAGGGTCCAGCACAGCCAACAGCTGACTTCTGATGTCCATCAAGGGGAAAAAGCATCATTGATCACTCACAATTAAAGAAACAGGAAGGTTTTGAAGAAGGCAGTTAAGGGTGTCAACCCACAGCTGTGTTACGAGCACCACACATCTACAACTAATCTCTATTTTTGGTAACACCGATGGTATGAGAGTTTTTCAAGATCATCTGATAAAACAACCAGTGACTAAGCATATCAGATCCTCTCCCACAGGCACGTCTCCTAATACGGCAGGCTGTAGGGCCACATTTCCTGTCATCACATTGCATTTTCATTTCCAAAACACTCTTTCTGCCTCCAGTAGGAAGGGCCTCACTACAAGGACATGTGCAAAGAGAGGACTCCGTTCCCAGCCATCCAACCACTCCGTTTCCTGACAGGCACTGGCCAGCTTTGCAAGGAGAGCCCTGCAGCTCTAGTACAGCCTGCTAAAAATATAATACTAGTACATATTTTGAAAGACCCTTTTAATACTAGTTAGGCAATACCAAGCAGCCACCACTACATAGCTTGGATAGACAATATAAGCACTGTAGTGTTTCCCTGGAGACTGGCAACTTTACTGAACAGGAGGAAGAAGCAGTGCTAAAGAGACATGAGCAACAGCCCCTGGTCCTTTGATCATTTGGAGAGCCAGAATTGCTTCCCTGACTATAAGCCCACTGCCAGCAGAGCACTGCACACCTAGTTGTGCTGGGAGGCTTATGCCAAGCTACAGAGCCGTCCTTCTTCCACCTCTTCATGCACCTCGTGTTCAGACCAGCCCCAAGGCCTGCAGACACGCCAGCAACAGTTAGTCAACCTGGACTTTGTCCTTGGGTCAATAGTAGGGCCCGAGCTTCTCGAAGCCTGAATAACTGGGCCACTCAGGAAAGAGGCCATAGGAGCACCGAGGGCTCCCGAACCGGTCAAATGCACAGCCAGAGTCAGGGCCCTGTGGGGGATGGACAGCTTCCTGAGCAGACTTCAGTTCTGACCGTACGATCCTGTAATTTGTGCCCCTGTTGTTGTCCCAGTACACCTTCCCACTGCACTCGAAGGAAATGGCAAACTCGACCCTTTCGTGTGATTGAATTCCCTCAGGCAAGCTGATGTCAAAGGAAAACGTGTCCCGATCTGACCCTCCATACGTATCCTTGACATACTGGCATGGGTAATCTACAAAGCTTTTCCAGGTGTCAAACGTAATCCGGATCTTCACAGTCTTTTCAAAAGCGAGGTTCTTCACCTTCACCGTTCCCACAACAGATCGCTCCTTTAGCACACAGTTTTCAAGGCACACACAGTCTGTCTCAAGGCGGTTTCTGAAGTCCAGGTAGTCCATAGAGGGCTGAACAAAATCTAGGACAAAGCTGTCCTTCTCCACTGTTGTCAGACCCACAATGTTGTCTATCAGCTCTGTGATGTTGAAAGGAATATCTAGTGGATCATCAAACTCTGAGAACACCTTCACCATCGTCAGAGCAAAGCCTCTGCTGTCTGCAAATGACACCCTCTTCTTCACTTTGTTGTGTGGGAAGGAGTTTGTTGCCTCTTCTGATCCGTTCAGTGCAGCCTTGCTACTCAGCTGGATGCAGGGTCGCAATGGCTTGCTTGGCTTTGGAGCAATTTTGCAGGCACACTTCTCTCTTCGCAAGGGTGAAGAGCACAGGTACAGCTGCATTGCTACATCCACAGCCATTGCTTGCTTGTGAGGAAAATAGTCTAACACTCTGGAAGATAAGAAGAAGGGCCAGTTGATGTTAGAAAAGCACTTTATTAAGAATTTTGTCGGACAAGTGATATACTGCTTCCCCCCAGCCATCCCAAATAAACTTACTTTTATCAACCCCCTGAGTCTCTCAGGCTTAACTAAAAGCAGGTACTTGTATAATGTGATTTACAGACAGAGTGAGAAATACACTATAGCAGAAGGACCAGAGCCTATTGTATCCTTGAACACGATCTCTTCCAACTGCTAAAAGAACAGAGTCACCATTTGAAGACACACACACAGACATTGCCCTACTGGGCTAGCAATAGCAGGCTCGAGAGAATTTCCAACCCAGAGCAAAACCCATGGCTCAATCCTGCCAGTGTTCACAAAACCCAGAGATTATCAAATTTCAATGCTACATAAAGCAGTATTCCTGCTGTGCTTTCCTCCCTCCAGGAGAGATTCTCCCTAGGGCTTCAGAGGCTTTTGTAGGAACAGGAATTTAGTTTGTCACAAGCTGCTGTACACAACTGACTTCACCTTTTATAAAGCCTCAGATGTCTGGTATTTTTAGCAGCTAAAAACCACTCGTTCAGTTGAAGTACATTCTTTGCTCATCAGAGTCTCCCAGACCCGCTCAGTCTAAAGTGCCTGCAAGTAGGATTGTAAGGACAGCAACAGTCTGATAAAGCAGAGCATTAGAGACTTAGCCAGCACTGCTCTGCACCTTTATTTCCTCTACTCCACTTAAAACATGAGAGCTCAGAATGCCCACCAGCCAGTTTTACCTCCAGCACAGAGTTCACACCTCAAGCCTCCACAGCATTTGTGCTAATCCCCTGGGAAACACCCATATAGCCACAGGGCTCTGCTAAACACAACTCATCTACTCGAGGTGAGGTTGACCCTGGTTTTGGAAACAAGTCCTTCTCCCAGAAGGCACAGGCTATGTGCCCCTCCACCACAGCCTCTCCTTCTCCAGCACCCAGCCCATTCCTCTAGGCATGCAGCACCATCTCTCTTTGTGCACCAATTCTAGGGCAGCTCCCACCCAGCACCCTTGCCAGACGTAGCCCTGGAGTTGCCCCTGCAGCCAGGAAGCTCCCAGAACATTCAACATTGCACCTATGGCTCCTGCCCTTACACTGAAGTTCAGATGGACACTTTTAGCAGACCCTCTTTGGCCTGGCTCTGGGTAAGCCACTGAACAGATTTATCATGCATATCCTCCTTAAGTTAACTGTATTGCAGCTGACTTTAAACACAGAGTATTCCCTTAATAAAAATCCTGTTTGGCTGCAGGCCAGGCTCTAAAGCTGCTCCCACCACGCAGAGCAGGATGAGCCAGCAGCGTTAGCAGTGACCACCAGCCTTGTGATGCGGCAGAGCTCTGGCTGCCAAAGCCATGAACAGCCAGCTCTAGTGTTTGATTGCTGCTCCTGTGCCAAGAAAAAGCAAGAGTTACACTCTCCAATTCAGTGATTTAAGTCCCCACCCTGTAACACCAACACAGCAGCTCTGAGCAGGCTTTCACAGCATTCGTTCAGCACGGGCATCTGTTTATTTAGAGCCCAACACACCCACCAGCTAATTCCTTCTGCATTGCCTCCTTTCAGCTCAAGGGCAGCTGTACAAGACAGACAGCAGATCCACCTGTCTGCTAAGACCGTTCAGCTCATCTCTACCCGGTTTTGCCAAGTTTTTATTCATACACACTTTATATAGGTCATTTCCTCCATTAAATTAATGCAACCTCCAATGCTTCTCTTACTTGGGTCAGTTTCATCTGCATTGCATCTTTTCCCAGGGAAATTTATTCAGCTGAATTTCTGTAACTGCTGAGAAGTCAGGTTTCATTGTAAGCTTTGGTTATTCACAGCTTTAGAATGAAGAGTCATGAAATATCCAGCCTAATGGCATTACTTGGAGCTTTTTTCCAAGCTAAGAACTATAGCAAGAGCTTTTCATAGAGACTATGAAAATAAGCTTTGTGCTTTTACAGCTCATTTGATATCCCAGACAACTCTTTCTGCACTTGAGAGCCTGCTGATGCCCAACTCACAGCCAACAGAGGAAAGTTCCCTTTCGAGGCTGGTGATGGCTGTCTTCAGATGCTTTGAAGGTGGGAGAAGAGATACAATTTCGGGAGCTGGGAGCTCGCACAGGTAAGAAAGCTCTAGGAAGCAAACAGTGCAAGGGAGGCAGCCCTAGGCAGGTACAGGGGCCGAGTCCTTTCCCCCCTCATCTCAAAAAGGGAACAAATCCGACTCTCTCTCTCGACTTCTTCCCGCAGCTTCATTCTCTCCAGAGGAGAATGTCACCACTCGCTACTCCCTCCTCTATTTTTAGGAAGGAGAAGCAAGTCAGAGCACAGGCATTACCTACACATGTATTTATTTAACCCCTTCGGTTGCCTCTGCGCTGCTCCCCGCGTTACCTGGGGCCAGGTAAGCCCCTGCGGAGGGCTGGGCGTGCAGCAGCGGCCGAGCCGAAAGCGTTCAGCCGTGACACGCTGCCGGGCGAAGCAGCGCTCGGGCATCCTGTACCCCCTCCTCCTCCCCGACTCAGGAAAGGTCGAGCCGTCCCCAGGGCGCATCCCGGTTCCCGCGGGCATCTACCCGGGCTGTGTGTTAACTCGCTACAGCTCGGTCCCTCCGCAAGACGCAGCCAAGCCACAGCCAAGCCAAGCCGCCCGGACCCAGGAGAGGCAGCAGAGCACAGCCCGGCGGAGGGGCAACCCCGCCGCCCCCGGCTCACCCGGAGAGCTGCAAGAGCCAAGCCCAGAGGATCCCGTTCCCGTCCCCGCCCAGGAGAGGCACCGCGGCGGGGAGCGCCGGCACCGCTCCCGCACACCCGAGGGGGCTGCGACCCCGCGCGGGAAGCCCGCGAAAAAGGCAAGGAGCACCACGACCATCCCGGCCGTGCCCGGGGAGAGGGGGGCGGCGGCGCGCCCGTACCTGGTGCAGTGCATGGGGACGGTCCGGCAGCCACAACCCGCCACCGGCCGGGGGGGGCCGGGCCCGGCCTCTTAAGGGCGCTCGGCCCCGCCCCCAGCGAGCGGCAGCCAATGAGCGTGCCCCGAGCGGGAGCTCTGCATGCGAGGGGGTGTGGCCGGCGGGAGGGGGCGGGGCCGGGGGGCGCAGGTACAGGGGACACGGCGGTGCCCGGCGGGGACACTGCGCCGAGCAGACCCACCCCCTGCAGCAGGGCGAGCTTGCTCCGGCAACAGGGACAGGCTCTGCCTCCGGTCCCGCACTGTGCCAAGGTGCCGTCCCTGTTTGTCCAGAAACACGGAATCAAACAGGTTCCGTGACGTGGAACCTGTGGAAAATACTTCTGAGGTAATCGAGTTCGACCTGCGACCCAACAGCACCGTGTCAAGTAGACTGCGGCACTAAGTGCCACGTCCAGTCTTTCCTTAAACATTTCCAGGGACGGTGACTCCACCACCTCCCCACTCAGTCCGTTCCAATATCACCCCTTCTGTGAAGAAATTCCTCCCGATGTCCATCTCAAACCTCCCCTGGCACAGCTTAAGACCATGTCCTCCTGTCCTGTAGCTAGGTGCTTGGGAGAAGAGGCCAACCCCCACCTGGCTACAACCTGTTTTCAGGCAGTTGTAGAGAGCAATAAGGTCCTCCCTGAGCCTCCTCCTCTCCAGGCTAAACACCCCCAGCTCCCTCAGCGGCTCCTCATAAGACTTGTCCTCCAGACCTTTCACCAGCTTTGCTGCCCTTCTCTGAACACGGTCCAGCACCTCAATGTCCTTCCTAAACTTAGGGGCCAGAATTAAGAAGGACAGAGTAGGCTTTGTGAGTGCCACAAGTAAGCAGCTAAACCCAGAGGAACGTGCTCTTGAGACAAGAAAGACTTTTTGGGACACCCATGTTCCTGGCTGAGGTGGCCCAGGGTGTTTGGGTGCTCAGGGCCAGGTGGGGAGGAGGGTAACTCACATACTCACATCTTGTAGCTGTGCTTGTGTCTGGGTAGAAATCTCCAGCAAATACTCAAAAATCTGCTTTCCATGCAATATTTATGATGTGCCATGGGAAAAATTCTAGAGGTAGCTTCCCTCTATGAGGGAAAAACACCTGTAGGGCTCAGCTGGCACAGAGACCAGCCCCATGGGAATCCCTATGCACATGTGTAGAGCTGGGAAGATGCTTCCAACAGCCTGAAAATATCTGCCAAGCAACTCGATGCTCTGGCATAGACCTGCACTGCTTTGCAGGGCCAGCTGGGCCAACAGATCTTCCCAGTTGCTCTCCTGACACCAGTTCCCATTTCTGCTCCCTTGGGCTGCTCCTGAGTCCACGTCAGCACAGTACCTGATGTCCTCGATGGTGTGAAAAGTGTGCATAGAGCTGGCCTCCCTGTCAGAGAAGCAGCTCTGGGGACAAATGCCACCTCCATGGGCAAGCAGCAGAGGTGGAAAAGCCTACTGAAAGATGGAGATGATGCATTTACTTTCTCCCCGTTGGGATAATAGTATTTACCTCTTTTTGTGCCACATCTGGCCTCTAACTGCACAGCTGCGAGCAATGCTGCTGTCTCTCACTCTTCTTACAGAGCAGAAAAGCAGGATTGAAGTGTCAACATTTGTTTTCAATTAACTTGTGGAAACACAGACAGCTATTGTTAAAGCTGGAGACTTCCTGCTGGAACCTGCCATTTAATACGCTTATTACTCTGCAAGGCAAAAGCGTTTTGTCGAGGGGAAAGGAAAAACCCACACATTTTTTGTTTTATAAACCCTTTTTTAGATGAAGGCAGTGGTTAGATTTAAAGACTCCATTGCAGGAGTCTTGCAGAACTACAGCAGTATTTCATGTGCTGAGGGTATGGTGGGATTTCAACATGTGGTCAAGCAGGGATGAGGGGAGCCCTGTTCAGGTTTGCCCAGGAGCCATAGACAGACATGGGATAAGGTGGTCATGGCTCATGGGCCCTCTCCAGTGCTGCCTCCCTTTCTCCATGCAGGGCTACTGCAGCCTGGCTTCAGCGTCGCTGCTCCAGAGAGGTTCAGGTGGAAGCGGTGGTTTTAATGGGATAAGCCCAAAAACTGGGAAGACCTGACATGACTTACACTTGTCCCTCTGGTCTGCCACACGTTTCTCCAATGTGTTGCTGGCAGCTCGGCACCACAGAGGTGCCGAGGGAGATGTGGGTTTGTCTCTATGCTGTGGGGGCTCTGGCCGGCCAGCCCCCCCTTCCCAGGGTAGGAATGCACCCCTGGTGGCTTAGGGCACATTTCTACCCCTCCATACAAGCTCTATTTGCCATGAGAGGGGCAGGGTGTTTCACAATTGTGGCTTGGTGTTTGCCCTTGAAGCAAAGGTAGGTGGAAGTTGGGGCAGGGTGTTGTGGCGGACTGTGGACATGGGCTGTTATCTTTGGGAAGCTGAGATAGTGGCTATATTTAGCTCTGTGCTAGGCCCTTGCACAGTGGTCTTTGTGATTTCCCCACAGATTTCACCCCTCCTGCCTTGCTGAGAGATGGGAAGAACTCGCTCCCTGTCATGGGGAAGAGGCTTCAGGTTGCTTCTCCCTGGGTAAGCAATCCAGAACCAGTCCCATTCATGGCACACAGCTCTGGAAGGAGGGTCCCACTCTCCCATCATGTCTGCTCTGGGGTTTGTCCCTGATTCAATGAGTATTTACTCCAGATTGTCCTGATACAGGACATGGTGGCTCCCTCACCCTCAGGTTCAGCTCTGCTGGTTTGCTGCAGGAGGGGAGGCAGCGCTTCTCCCTGCCTACTGAAGAGCCCTCCTTCCCCTGACAGAGTCCCCCAAGAGCCGCCTCTAACAGCAGGCTCGAGCAGGTCCTTGGGGACTTTTCCTGGTCCCGCCACCTCCTCAGTGTCCTGTTGGAGACAGGGGTGAATGGAGCATCTTCTCCTCCCTGTTGGGAACCTACGTGCTGCTGTGACAGCCTGGCTTCCCAGCAGCTGGCCAGTGGACAGCCCCAGCAGGAAAGGGGAGAGGGGCCAAGGGTGTTGTGCAACGTACCCACAGGCTGCGGGGCCAAGGCTCAAGGGCGAGTGCTGTAAATTAGTGAAGCGGCTGATGTAACAGCACTGCCCAGGGAGCTGTGCTGGGGCTGCTGCCGTGGGGCACCCCATCCCACACCTCCCGCCCTCTCTCAAATCAGCAGCCCCCTCCTGCTACCTTCTTCTTCTTCCTACACCCCGGCTGCCATCCCCCATCACTGCCAATGGGCATGGAGGCTCCAGCCCTCTGCATCTCCATATCCGACTGTGCCCCCAGCCTGGTCGGGAATGCTGAGTGGTGTAGTTGTGGTCAGGTCTCCACCTCTGGCTGATGGAATCCTCACTTGCCACAGCAGTCCACTGAGGCAAACAGTGCCTGCCATGGTGGTGTGGCTGATGCTGCCACAGTGTTGGTGTTTGCCAGCAGTTTCCAAATTGGTGGCACTGAGAAACTGCTGCTGCCACCTTTGAGCCAAACCACAACACTTGCACCAGCAGGGAAGGGTTTTTGTTAAAGTTTACCTGCCCATGACAAGGCTGTGACAGTAACTCTTAAGTAATCTTAATCAGATGTTGCCTCACATCAAAATGCTAAGGGAGAAACTAATTTTGGAGTAATTTTGGGCAGCGCTAGTGTACTGCAGGAGAGTCAGCCAGGCCAGTGCAGAGCCCCAGGAGTGGTAGCAGTCAGCAGCATGGCATGCCATCCTCCCAAAAGGACACATCCATGGCTGAGCTGTGTGTCTGGTTGACTGTGAGTTCCTCCTTTGTTCCTTTTAGACACACCAGTGGGTTTCAGCTGCACTTGATGGGGGAGTGGAAAGACCACAGATCCCTTTAAGGTTTCATGTGACTCAGCAGCTGGTGGAGAGAGACCCGGTGAGCATCCTTGCTGAGCAAAAGCAGAGAGACACTTGGATGCAGGGCCCTTCTGGACAGTCAGTCTCTGTACCTGCTGGCCAGGCAGCACTGACAGCCCCTTGGTCAGCTATGGCCAACATGGCAGAAATCTGTAGGAAGCATGGTTTCTCTTACCATCAACTTGCTCATAGCTGGAACTGCATGCTAAGGCCTGACATGTTGCTTGGGAGCTCCCTGTGGTCCCCAGGCCCCTGTCCAGCTCCTGTAGGACCACACCAATTGGTTCCAAGAAAGAAAAGTCTTGAGAAGTCCTGTCAGGTGAGGGGATTCCACTCTTTTATTTTCAAAGGCCTCAAACTCCTTTGGCTGTCCCAGGAAATTAAGCAAAGAGTATTCAAAGTTTCCCAGTGTGAAAGGAAATCCCACTCTCGGTTAAGGCTCTTGACTCTGCTTTGGGGAGCTGTGCTCCGAGGCAGAGGTGCCACTGTTCCTCCCGGCTCTGTGCAGAAATAAGGAGTTGCTTCAATGTACTGCCTGCAAGCCCAAAGTAGGGTATTTACCTTGGCATGTCTCCCTTTGGATCTCGTGTGCATCCATGGTCAAACATCCCAAGGAATGTGTACTCTGCCCTGCCTGCCATGGCACCTTCTTTTCCAGCCCAACATGCACAGAGAAGATGGTGTGAGGCCAGTTGCAAAGCCTGGCCTGGCATTGTGTGCTGTAGAGAAAGACTGGGTATTACAGAACCATGGTTCTTAATATTAAAAATGCCTATAAAAGAGGCCTAGAAAACTCTTGCAAAAAAGGGAGATCATGGGGGAGGGAATGAATGCGAATAAGTTACTACAAAGGCCTTAAGGAAAGCTGCTACTCAGAGAGAAAAAGGGGAATGGTCCTTCGGCCAAGGAAGAGCTCAAAGGGCAAGGAAACAAATGAGTGGAGAAACTAAATGACAGGCAGACAGGAACAACAAAGAGGTGGGTCCTTGGCCAGGCACACAACATGCTTGTTGAAAATGTTATATCAGTGCTAAGGCAAGGCTTGGTACCAGCCTAAAAGAATTTCTTCCCTAGACACTGGGACCCAAGAGGGGACAAGTCACTGCAAGAAGAGAATGCTTTCTCCTGCTTTCTCAACACTATGAT